TCCTCCTCCTGGAATGGGGAATTTAATGGGAAATAAACCCATTAAATGTAAAGCTCCATCTCAGCTCCATCTCAGCCCCATCCCAGCTCCATCCCAGCTCTATCTCAGCCCCATTCCAGCCCCATCCCAGCCCCATCCCTGCTCCCTGTCACGTGCAGGATCCACGACAGGGCCTGGCTCAGAGCCACATCCAGCTCCTGCCACTCCTGACTCAGCCCTGGCAGCAAAACTCTGATTATCACCCTTGAATTGTGCCTGGGGAGCAACCAGGAAAAAAAAAAAATCCCATGATGAAAATCCCATAATGAAAATTCCATTTCTGCGGCCTGGTGTTCACGTTTTGGGCTGGGCTCCAGCGCTGTCACCTCCCGGCCAGAATGGAGGCAGCTGCCACTCCCATCCTGTGCTTCACATCCTGTTTCCACCACTGCACATTAAGGAGCCCTTGGCCAAGACAACATCACGTTGGGACAGCTGAGCCAGCAGTGGTGGCTGCTGGGGACACCAGGGGACAGGAGGTGGCTGCTGGGGACAGCAGAGGAGGAGAGGTGCTGTCCCCGCAGGAGGACGAGAGCTGAGCAGGAAAACTGAACATTAAAGAGCTGATAAAAGCTGAAAATACCCATGGAATTGTCAAAGAGCTTTGTAGCCCTTGTTTTCCACTGCTGGGAGCCATCAGGGATCAGAGGAAGGGCAGGAGGAGGGCACAGGGTGGGAAAAGCTCTGCCCTGTCACCCCAGCTGTGGTGGCCCTTCAGGGCGTGCCTTCTGCTGGGACGAGCTCCTTCAAACCCACCTGGAGCTCCCAGAATCGCCACAGAATCCCAGAATGTGTGAGCTGGAGGGGACCTTAAAGGCCATCTCATCCCACCCCACCCATGGAGCATTCCTAAATGCTCAGGGTTGGGATCCAGGGTGATATTTTGGGAGGTGTTTGCTGCAGGAATGAGCCATTCCCTAGGCAGGGATGATGAGGGATGACCCCTCACCAGCATTTCTCCTCTTCCTCCTCCTCCAAAGCACAAAAACTGGATGGGAACTGCCCAGACTGGCCCAGAAATGGAATCAGGAGGTGCCAGCAGAGCAGGGATATTTGGGGTCTGGGAAGAGATCTGGGTACCACTGGGCCAGGCCTGGGGTGGGCTGTCCCGTTATCCCTGACTCTGGAATTCCTGGGTTCCTCCTGCCCCTCTCCTGAAGATTTCCAGGTGGAATGGGTTCATCTGAGCCACCTGCCCTGGGATTTATTGGGTTTCCCCAGATGCAGCTGGTGAGCAACTGGGACACACTGGTGTGGTCCCTGCAGGAGGTGCAGCCTCATCATCCTCCTCCTCCTCCTGGAATGGGGAATTTAATGGAAGAAACCTATTAAATGTATGGAATAAACCCACAAACCCATCTGATAAACACAGCAGGTTGAGACTTTTCTCCCTTTTGAAAACCTCGCAGGCAATTTAATTCTCTGTAAATCTCCAAAAAATGCCAGTGGATAAATGAAGAGGAGAAGCTGGAGCAGGGAATGCTCTGCCTGTGTTGGTTCCCACTGAAGGAAATTCAAGAGGGCAGAGGAAACCTTCCCAGAGTGGAGAAAAGAAGGATCCTTCAGAGTTCCTGGTGATTTCTCCATTTCAGTGACTCCTGGGAGCGGAAATGAGGAGCAAAACGCACATGGAAAAATCCAGGAGAGGCTGTTGAAAGTGCAGAGGTTGGATTAAATGATTTTTATTAAATAAAGAATCTGTTTCTATTGTCTCTGTTGTGCACTGAGCTGTGCAGCACCTCTGGAGTTGGGATCAGGATCAAATCATGGAATATCCTGGGCTGGAAGGGATCCCAGGGATTGAATCCAAGCTCTGGCCCTGCCCAGACCCCCCAACAATCCCATCCTGGGCACCCCTGGGAGTGGTATCCAAACGATCCTGGAGCTCTGGCATGAACCAGGCTGCTTCTCAGCTTCTTGCTGCTATTCAAAATGCCTTTTATTCTGTCACAGTCCCTTTCTCCAGGTCAGGATTTGGATGGAAAAACAGCTGGGCTGGTGGTGAAGAGATCTCCATTTTTTTGAGGGAAATCCAGAAATGGAAGGAGATCAGAGATTTTGGGTGCCAGCCCCACCCTGGGTAAATCCCAGAGGGTTGCTGAGTGATGTCCGTGCTGGTTTTCCTATTCCTGCAGCACAACTTTTGCATATTAAAGTGAAAAAAAATAAAATTATGGGCAGGGTTTGATGGTTTATCGCTCAGGATCTGACCCAGCCCCGAGTCCCTGGGAATGGGGCTGCTGGGGGGAGTTCCAGAGGTGGAATGGGCAGGATCTGCCTGCAGAGTCAGTGTGACATTCTTGTTTGCAACTTTTTCTCAGCTCCCTTTGGCACCGTTGGGTGGGAACAGAAAATAAAGCCTTGAGGAAACCCTGCCAGGACAAAAAGTGCTGGAAAGTGCCTGGATGCAGAGCAGAGGCTGGAGGTTCAGGTGCACAGCAGCTGCTGGAGCCATGCTGCCCTGAGAAATCCCTGCTGCCAGTGGAGCTGCAGGTCAGGAGGAAAAACGAAATGGAGCTCAGGATCCATTGTTGGGAACAATGGGAGAGATCCTGATAGGAGATCTCCTGCTGAGGAGAGGGCTGCAGGCCAGGGCTGGAGCTTGCAGGGAAACCTGGAGGAGGATGAGCATGGAAATGGTGGGAGACAGAAGAGACAGAGCTGCTGGGGCTGTGCCAAAGGAGCAATCCCTGGAGAACAGCTTGGGATCAATCCCTGATCCCCAGGGTTGGAAGGGACTTTAAAGATCATCCCATCCCAGCACAAACCATGGCAGGGACACCTTCCCCTGTGCCAGGCTGCTCCAGCCCCAGTGTCCAGCCTGGCCTTGGGCACTGCCAGGGATCCAGGGGCAGCCCCAGCTGCTCTGGGAATTCCATCCCAGCCCCTGCCCACCCTGCCAGGGAACAATTCCTCATTGCCCAGATCCCATCCAGCCCTGCCCTCTGGCACTGGCAGCCACTCCCTGTGTCCTGTCCCTGCATCCCCTGGAAATTGTCTCTCTCCAGGTTTCCTGGGGCTCCTTCAGGCCCTGCAAGGCCACCCTGAGCTCAGCCCAAAGCTTCTCCTGTGCAGCTGAACAATCCCAGCTGTGCCAGCCTTTCCTGCCAGCAGAGCTGCTCCATCCCTCTGCTCATCCTGGAGCCTCCTCTGGGCTCTCTGCAGCAGCTCCAGCTCCTCCCTGTGCTGGGACAGGGCTGGGGCAGCTCTGCAGGTGGGCTCTCACCTGTGGGGGCACAGGGACACAATCCCAACCCCTCTCCTGATCCGAGCTGGGGGCTCTGGGCTGGGGCAGCTCCAGCTCTCCTAGGGCTGCTCCATCTGCTCATCCCAGCCTGGGCCGATCCTGGGATTGTCCCAAGTGCAGCCCTTGGCCTTGTTGGAGCTCAGCAGATTCCCAGGGGCCCTTCTGGAGCTGCTGGTGCAGGTCCCTCCGGATGGCTCCTGCCGCATTCCCGCTGGCTCCCACAGCTCCCCAGCCGGGTTTGTGCTGCTCCCTGCAGCCATTCCTTGAGAAAAGCTCCCTGGAGCTTCCACGTGCCCAGCTGAGGGCTCCAGCTGGATCAGGACACCGGGGACCGAGTTTGGGGCAGTGATAACAACGTGTAAAACTGAAACAGGATGCCAGAGAAATATTACACGAGATAAGAGCAGTTATCAGCTGTAAAGAATGTTCTGCTGGCTTCTGATTGCTCCTATCTTCTATTTTTATCAGTTTCCTCCTGCTTGTCTCTGAACAAGTTTCCAGGTTTAGCAGGTCTGACCCAGCCAGCTGCAAATCAAGATAGCCCTGATAACTCCAAATGGCACAGGGCAACTCATTCCAGCCTCACAGAGCCTTTGGGAAGGATTTTCCAGCTGGACTCTTCAATCCCAGGGGTTTCATCTCCCATCCCTGCAGCGCTGAAGTAAAATAAATAATAATATTTTCTGCTGGTAAAATAAAACCCCACCTGCTGCAGGTGCAAGTTCTCCATGAGGTGGGAAATAAGAGCTTGGAGTTCTCCAGGATGGGGAGGGGAAAGGCTGAGCCCTGAATCTCAGCAGGTCAGAGCTGCCTCAGAGCAGCACAGATTCTCTTCCCTGACTGCAGATGAACTCCTGGACTCATTCCTGGGATGGGCTTCCCTCAGTGCTGCCCTCACCTTTCCTTCCAGCTGGAATTGGCACCTTGGCCGAGCCTGGGCGACGCTCACGGCTCTCTGAGGGTGGATTTAATGTGGGCAGGCAGGGACAGATTTAAACTGACAGAAGGGTTGGGTTGGAGACTGGGATGGCCCAGGGATCCAGGGGCAGCCCCAGCTGCTCTGGGAATTCCATCCCAGCCCCTGCCCACCCTGCCAGGGAGCAATTCCTCATTGCCAAGATCCCATCAAATCCTACTCTGAAGCCATTCCCTGGCTCCTGTCCCTGCAGGCCTTGTCCCCAGTCCCTCTGCAGCTCTCCTGGAGCCCCCTCAGGCCCTGCTCTGAGGTCTCCATGGAGGTCTCCCTCAGGGGCTCTGAGCTCTCCCTGGATCCTCTCCTCTCCATGTGAGCACCCCCAGCTCTCCCAGAGCCCTCAGAACACCTCCATGGCTTCCTCTGGACTCACCCCCACACTCCCATGGCTTTTTCCAGGCCCGCCGTCATTCCCTGGAGCTGCAGGTGCCCCCGAGCCCCGGCTGCCCTGGGCAGGGAGCCGTGCCCAGCCGGCCCTGGGGGCTGCAAAGCCCGGCAGTCAGCTCCAGGTGAGGAATTCAGCGCTGACATTTCGATATTTGTGCAGCTCTGGGAGAGATCCCGGCAGGGCCCGGCCCTGGTTAATCGGGTGGAGAGAGGGGACGGGTGAGTGGGTGCCCCTGGGGAGGATCTGCCCCCTGCCCCGAGCCTGTGGAACAGGTTGGGAGGAAAAAACAACATCTGAGGCCACGAGCAGTGCTTGAAATTCAGATTTTATTGCTCTGTATAAGCGAAAAAAAACCAGGGGGGTGGAAGAGAACTCCAAGACTGAAAGGTGGGAAGCCACCACAGGCACTCACCCAGGGGTGAGGGTGGCACAGCAAAGCTCCTCACTTTTTTTAAATTTCAGTTAAAAAAAAAGGCAGAGCTGCTAAAAGGAAAAAAAAAAGGGGTGCAATTAATGCTGAGCATCACCCTCCTCACAAATAACCCCCATGGAGCTATGAAAATAAAATGACCCAAAATCCCTGAAAATACCTGAGGTGGAGAGAGAGCTGAGGAGGGAGCCCTGGGGATGAGCTTCACTCCCAGGGTTTAATGCCATTAAATGTTTTAACTGTTAAATTAAAGAGTTTAATGTCATTAAAAGCAATTTTTGGTGCAAGTTTAAGCCAAGTCCAGGGGCCTGTTTCTGCAAATCCTCTCCCAGGGCAAGTCCTAAACAGTGAGATCCCAAAAGAGCAGCGCCCAAGCTGAGAAATCAACATTTTTTCAGAGCTGGGCTTGGGTTTTCATTCCCCCAGAGGAAAAAGTGACTGGGATAATTAAGTTGCTGGAGATTTCCCAAGCTGCTCCAGACACCAAAAATATGGATCTTGTCCTCAGCTTAATGGAAGGCACTGTATAAATATAATCTTAAAAAAACAGCCCTGTGTTTTGAGTGTCCTGAGTGCTCTGGGAACACAGACACGGCTGGAATATTGCTCAGATGGAAGTGCAGTGCTAAAGAAGTGCCTGGAAAAGGGCTCTGCTGGGATTGCTTCCCTCTCCAAGCTCTCTGCCCTCACCTTGCCTTGGAAGCAGCTGCTCTGCTCCTCTCCCCAGCCTCCCCCAGTCTCTTCCCTCTCCAGCAGCTAAAAATGGGATTTGTGTCTGCAGGGCAGAAATAAAATCCCCACTCCTGCCCAGAGTGTTGCTTCCTTCTCCCCAAACCAGCTCCAAGCTGGCAAAGCTGTTCTTTTAGGGAACACAATGTCCAGGGGAGATGGATTTCTCCTTTCACAGGCAGGTGGAGGAGGGAAAAGGAGGGAAGGGCAGGAAAACCTTCCTGGATTTTGTGTTGGATCCTTGGATGGACGCCTGGGAGCTGCTCACGGAATCTGAGCTAAGCACAGACAGCACCTCTGGGTGATTCTACAGCAGAAATGATGGAATTGCTCTTCCCACAGTGGAAATTCCCTTCCCAGCCAGGGGCTGGTACTCGGGGCTCGTGCAATAATTAATTGGGATTGAAATTGGGGAATGTTCCCCACATCCATGGCACACACCCAGTCTTTGCACATGGATTTTGTTGCCAGGATCAAACCCCATCCATGGGAAGGAAATTCAATTGACTGGCCCCCAGGGAGACCTGCTAGGAATCAGAATTGATGTTGGAAAAGCCCTCCAAGATCTTTGAGTCCAGCCCCTAACCCAGCACTAACCATGTCCCCAAGTGCCACACCTATCCCAGTCACTAAAGTTTCCCTTCAAAGTCTGCATTCTCCCACGGAAATATTTTTCAGACAAAAAATTGGGAATCTTTTCCTAATATTTTATCACTAAGAGGTGCATGATTCTGAAGGAAACAGGTTAGCACAACACTGCACTATTTATAAAATCATTATTCTAAGCTGGACAAAAATTCAAATAAAATCTTTCAGCTTCTATTTCCTGGGAGAATTTGGTCATTCTGGAATACGATTGTCTAAGCCATGCTTGGCAATTAACACCTCTGCCCTGTATTTGGTTCTAATGAGTCCTAATTAGGCTCTAATTTCACACCAGCAACACTAAGATTTGCCTTTGTAGAGAGCCAGAGAATCCCAGAACCGGTTGGGTTGGAAGGGAGATCAAACTCATCCCATTCCCTGGGCAGGGACACCTCCCACTGTCCCAGGCTGCTCCAGCCCCAATGCCCAACCTTGGGCACTGCCAGGGATCCAGGGGCAGCCACAGCTGCCCTGGGCACCCTGTGCCAGGGCCTGCCCACTCTGCCAGGGCAGATTTATCCCCAAAATCCCCCCCAGCCTGAGGCTTGGGTCAGGAGGTGAAGCTGATGAGTCCGCGGCGTTCCGCGTGAATCCCGACGTTCCCTCACGGCGATTCCCACACGACGCCGGTGCTGGGCACTGGGGCAGCACTGGCATCTCCCAGATCCATCAGCTTCACCAGCACTGCTCCTCCAGCCTGGCCAGGCCCTGTGGCTCTGCAGAAGAGCCAGCAGCTCCCCCGGCCCACAGCAGGCACCGCTCACACCGTCCCCGTGCCGCGCACCATCCTCCCCCGCTTCTCCCTAGGAAGATTTCTCCTCAGGGATCTTCATGCCCGGCTGCTCCACGGCCAGCTGGTTCTCCAGGACACAGCAGAGCTTGTAACTCTCGATGAGCTTGGCCTGGAGGTACTCCCTGTCCTTCTTGTGCCAGGCGTCCGTGGCGATGTAGGTGTTGTAGGGGTCGCGGGGCCCCTCGAGGCGCCGCGCCCGCAGGTTGGTCACCATCACCCCCACGGTGAAGAACCCAAAGAGCCCCAGCATGAGCAGCACGTAGATGATGGCCAGGCTGTCGCTGGCGCTGCTCTCCTGGGAAGGAGCTGAGCTGTTGGTCTGTTCCGGGCACTCCTGGAGCAGTTTGGAGAGGAGCAGGTTCAGGGCCGTTGTGTTCGACAGCACCAACATCTGGATTTTCTGTCCTTGGTGCTTCTTCCTTCCTTTGGCTGGAAAAGGATAAAAATCAGGGGGTGGCATCAGGTAAATGTCTGATTAAGCTCTTTTCTGACCCAGAGATGGGGCAACTGAGATGTGTTTGAAAAACTTTTATTTCATTTTCAGTCTCATGAGAAGGGTGAGACAATACAGATGGTATAATTCACAATCAGAAGCCAATTATTTCCTAATTACGATGCACTATAAGTGTTTCTTGGCCTATCAGCTTTAGCCACACCACGCTGTAAATGCCTTAAAGCCAATCATCTAAAATGACCCCTCTTGAGTCCCACTACAATTCATCTTTCACAGTTCTGTTTCTCCAAAGTATTTGGTCTTATTTTCAAGGCCACCTTTTGAAACTTGTTCCTAGCTCCATTTCTCTCCCAACAATGTCTGTCCTGTTCCATGGCATTTCTGAGTCAGCATTTCTTGTCTCAAGGTTTGCACACAGGTGCACTCTGTGTGAGCCTTCTGTCAGGCTTGGAGAATTCCCTACAAATTCATTCCCCACTTTTCCCCCTCTCTCTTGAATGGAAAAAGTTCTTTGATGGATCTCACAGATGAAGATGGGATTTCCTCTGCCTCCCTTTCCTGGTTCCCCTCCTCAGTGAGGGATTTACCTCTGGGAGCCTGGGTGTGATGCCTTGAGTTTCAGCTTTTCTATTTTTCAGATTCTGTGCTGCTTTAGTGTGTAGCTCTGAGCTTCATATTGGGTGTTAGCAAGTTCTCTTCATAGGGCAGAGAGACAGAGCAATCCTTTTCCAGCTTGACCAAGGACAACTGGTACAAGCTCCAGGCCTAAAATGTGTAAACAAGGGAGAATTGAAGAGAGAAAAACAAGCAGGATGGGAGTGCAGGGGCTGAGCTGGAATTGGACACTGAACTGCAATGTGCACATGGAGCAGAGCTGATCCCAGGGAGAGACCCCGGGAGCGCTCGTGCATTTTGGGGCCATTTGGGTTCATCTTGGCTGCAGCCCTGGCTGGGCTCTTGTGCTGCCCAAGGTGGATCCATGGAGGAGATCCTTGGAATCAATCCCTGCTTTATTCTTTAGCTCTGCCCAGCCTCTGCTCTGGCTCAGCCTTCCTGAGGCATCAGTTCAATGTGAAGAACCCCTCTCATCTCTCACCTGTAACCCAGCCAGGGCTGAGTCCATCCCCAGCCACAGCTCCAAAATCCCCTGGTGCTGCACAGCTGGTCTGTGTGGTGTGGAGCTGGCACAGATCTCACCCCGAGCTCCCTGCTGCTGTTTGGAGTTCAGGACTCCCTCCCTGAGCCCCCCAGGCAGGAGCAGTGTCCCAGCCAGAGGGACAGCTCTGATCTCTGCTCTGGGACAGGGGCAGCACCCAGGGAGCAGCTGGAGCTGGGCCAGGAGGGATTTAGGTTGGATTTTAGGGAAAGGTTCTTCCCCAGAGGCTGCTGGCACTGCCCAGGCTGCCCAGGGAATGGGCACGGCCCCGAGGCTGCCAGAGCTCCAGGAGCAGGAGATGGGGACACCCAGAAACTCCTGGAAGGCCAAACCCTCGCAGGCACAGCCTCTGCTCTGCCAGTCTCACACAGGAGGCTGGAGGGTCCTTTTCCCTTTCCAATCCATCTGTAAATCACTTAATGAGAGGAACCCTGTCAGCACTGCATTCCCAAATCCTCAGCAGCCAGGCAACATCAAATCATGAAATCATTTTGGAGTTGAGAGGGACCTCAAATCCCACCCAGTGCCACCCTGCCATGGCAGGGACACCTTCCCCTGTGCCAGGCTGCTCCAGCCCCAGTGTCCAGCCTGGCCTTGGGCACTGCCAGGGATCCAGGGGCAGCCCCAGCTGCTCTGGGAATTCCATCCCAGCCCCTGCCCACCCTGCCAGGGAACAATTCCTCATTGCCCAGATCCCAACCAGCCCTGCCCTCTGGCAGTGGGAGCCATTCCCTGTGTGCTGTCCCTGCATCTCCTGGAAATTGTCTCTCTCCAGGTTTCGTGGGGCTCCTTCAGGCCCTGCAAGGCCACCCTGAGCTCAGCCCAAAGCTTCTCCTGTGCAGCTGAACAATCCCAGCTGTGCCAGCCTTTCCTCATCCATGACTGACAGCCCCACCACAGCCCCTCAGCTAAAAGAGTCTGGAAAAGAAGACACCAATGTCCCTGGACCACCTGAATGGTCATTGTCACTCAAGGTGACCTTGGCACCCCCTGGGGTGGCTCTCAGGCCTTCCCACAGCTTTAAATCCACGGCAGCAGCTCAGCAAATCCTTCTCCAGAACACTCAGCCATTGTTGTTGGGGGATTTTGAGGAGGAAGTACATCAGAACCATTTCTAATCCATCCAGGCTGAGAAGGAGCCCGGGGCAGGAGTGACACCTCTGGCAGGGGATGGTGGCAGCTCAGGGATGTTTTCCAGGAGCTCTGCGTGGGAGGGAGCTGAGCTGGGCACAGCCTGCAGCTGCTGGGAATGAGCCTGCAGGAACAGCAGGTACCTGGAGGCTTCCTTGGGTTTGTTTGTGCCTTGCTGTGGAATGAAAACTGCACAAGGAGCTGCTGAAACAGAGGGACAGAGCCAGGGCTCAGGAGGAGAACATTTCCCTGGAGTGTTCACAGCCAAGGGAACGCAGCAGGCATGGAGAGGGTCACACACAGGAATGAATTGTTAATTAATGACTCCTTGTGATGATTTTCACTGTGAACTTTTTATCTGAGCACTCACGGGTCTGAGGCTGAAACACAGAGAATTTCAGCACGGGGTGGGGAATTCTTGTGGAATGGTTTGGGTGGGAAGGATCTCAAATCCCAGCCAGTGCCACCCCTGCCATGGCAGGGACACCTTCCCCTGTACCAGGCTGCTCCAGCCCCAGTGTCCAGCCTGGCCTTGGGCACTGCCAGGGATCCAGGGGCAGCCCCAGCTGCTCTGGGAATTCCATCCCAGCCCCTGCCCACCCTGCCAGGGAGCAATTCCTCATTGCCAAGATCCCATCCAGCCCTTCCCATTCCCTCTCTCCTGTCTCTCCATCCCCTGGAAATTGTCTCTCTCCATGTTTTTGTAGCTCCATCCAAGGCCAGGTTGGACACTGGGGCTGGAGCAGCCTGGCACAGTGGAAGGTGTCCCTGCCATGGCAGGGGTGGCACTGGGTGGGCTTTAAGGTCCCTCCCAACCCAATCCAGTCTGGGATTCTGGGATTTTATGATCTCTTCAGGGACACCCAAATCCCTGCAGCTCTGGGGTGCCAGAGTGTGAGCCCAGCTGGGTGGGAAGAGGCCAAGGGGAGACCCTGGAGAGCTCCTGGTGCCTCTGTGGGAGCTGAGGCCATGGGAATGTCACAGCAGAGCTGCAGACTGACTTAGGACTCCAAATACAGGGAATTACAGCTGGATCTGGCACCTCATGGAGCTGCTGCCAGCTGTGGGGACAGCAGGGCTGACTGGCACCCCCTGAGTGGCACTGGCTGCTTCCCAGCACAGGCACAGCACAAGGCTCTGCTCCAAAGGAGGCTGGATCCTGCTCCCTGAGCCCTGGATCCTGCTCCCACAGCCCGGATCCTGCTCCCACAGCCTGGATCCTGCTCCCCGAGTCCTGGATCCTGATCCCACAGCCTGGATCCTGCTCCCTGAGCCTGGATCCTGCTCCCACTGCCTGAAAACTGCTCCCAGAACCTGGATCCTGCTCCCACAGCCCGGATCCTGCTCCCTGAGCCCTGGATCCTGATCCCACAGCCTGGATCCCAATAACACAGCCTGGATCCTGATCCCACAGCCTGGATCCCAATAACACAGCCTGGATCCTGATGACACAGCCTGGATCCTGATCCCACAACCTAGATCTTGCTTACACAGCCTGGATCCTGCTCCCAGAACCTGGATCTTCCTCCCTGAGCCTGAATCCTGCTCCCTGAGCCTGGATCCTGCTCCCAGAACCTGGATCCTGCTCCCTGAACCTGGATCCTGCTCCCACTGCCTGGATCCTGCTCCCACTGCCTTGATCCTGCTCCCACAGCCTGGGAGCTGCTCCAGTGGAGGGCACCCAGCCCAGTGGGCACCTTCAGCTCCAGCCCAGCCCTTCCTGCCCAGTCTGGGCTGGGCTGATCTCCAGCAGCTCAGCTCCAGAGCAGCAGGTGCTGCCAGAGGCTGCTGGTGCCACCGGGGTTTAAAAGGGAAAAGGGAATTTTCTGTCCTGGAATGCACCTAAAATTTGTGACACTCGGCTTTGGAGCTCAACAGGAATTTTGTCCTCGAGCACTGAGAGCTGTAGCGAGCCCAGAGGAGGCTCCAGGATGAGCAGAGGGATGGAGCAGCTCTGCTGGCAGGAAAGGCTGGCACAGCTGGCATTGTTCAGCTGCACAGGAGAAGCTTTGGGCTGAGCTCAGGGTGGCCTTGCAGGGCCTGAAGGAGCCCCAGGAAACCTGGAGAGAGACAATTTCCAGGGGATGCAGGGACAGCACCCAGGGAGTGGCTTCAACTGGTAGATTTCCATTCCACTCCCTCATTTCCTTGTGATGGAAATGAGGGGCTGGGATGGAATTCCCAGAGCAGCTGGGGCTGCCCCTGGATCCCTGGCAGTGCCCAGGGCCAGGTTGGACACTGGGGCTGGAGCAGCCTGGCACAGGGGAAGGTGTCCCTGCCATGGCAGGGGTGGCACTGAATGGACTTTGAGGTCCTTCCCAGCCCAAACCATTCCAGGATTCCATAAAAACTGACTCTTGGCTGCCTCTATTTCTCTTCCCTGCTGAGGTTTCAATGTGATTTTTATCACACAAACCGAGCTGGATGTGAAGTGACAGATTTTAACAGCGTTTTCTCAGCTCTCTCAAATCAGAGCACCTCTATTTTCATTTCCACCAAGCAAACATCTCCAACCCTCTCTCCTATCATTGCCAAAGCATCAGCAGCCAGCCCCAGAAACCCAGGCATTTTAGAGGAACACTCACCTTTAGAGAACACAGCTCAATCACCATTTCCTGTGGTTTGATGACACAGAAATAAAGCCTGTGCTACTCTCAGAGCAAAAAAACCAGCACAGCACATCACCCACCTCCCAGATTTTCTGCCTTCCAAACGTCCTGCTGCTTCTGCAGCGCCATGAAGGATCCAGTGACCTCCCTGGCTCGTTTCCCTGCCATTCCTTCAGGGATGAGTAGCTCTGACACCGTTCCCATTGCACAAGGGAGCCCCATTTCCTCACCCCAGCTGCCGGGAATTTTGCAACCCGGCAGCATCCAGGGCACAGCTCCTGCCCGGGCCGGGAGGGAGAGCTGCTGCAGGGGGGGATCTGCAGCTCTGGGCTCTGCCTCCCGCAGCCCCCAGCTGTGCATGGCAGCTGTGCAGCCTCTCCTGCATGCCCAGGCCCATCCTTCCCTGCTCACCTGGGCAGCAGCACCGCAGCTGCTGGGCAAAGAGCAGCACCTGTGCACTGGGGGCACTGAATTGTCCCCAAGTCTTCAGTGAATTGTCCCCAAACCCCCAGTGAATTGTCCCCAAACCTCTGCTGAATTGTCCCCAAACCCCACTGAATTGTCCCCAGATCTCCAGTGAATTGTCCTTAAAAGCCCCAGTGAATTGTCCCCAAACCCCACTGAATTGTCCCCCAACCCCGCTGAATTGTCCCCAAGTCTTCAGTGAATTGTCCCCAACCCCCACTGAATTGTCCCCAAACACCCACTGAGTGAATTGTCCCCAGACCTCCAGTGAGATGTCCTCAAACCCTACTGAATTGTCCCCAAACCCCCACTGAATTGCCCACAAATCCCACTGAATTTTCCCCAAACCCTCACTGAGTGATTTGCCGCCAAACCCCACTGAATTGTCCCCAAACCCCCACTGAGTGAATTGTCCCCAAACCCCGCTGAATTGTCCCCAAATCCCCACTGAATTGTCCACAAACCCCCACTGAGTGAATTGTCCCCAAATCCCCAGTGAACTGTCCCCAAATCCCCACTGAGTGAATTGTCCCCAAATCCCCACTAAGTGAATTGTCCCCAAACCCGCACTGAGTGATTTGTCCCCAAACTCCACTGAATTGTCCCCAAACCCCCAGAGAACTGTCCCCAAACCCCACTTTTCTCTGATCACAAGCCAGCAGTTCAGTTTCCTTGCACACATCATGCAGATATACCGCTATTCCAAAGTGGAAACTCCAGCACTCCCTAAAACGCACCCATCCCGGCGAATCCCGGGCTGCAGCAGCCTGGGGGCTGCTCCCAGCCCCGGGGAGCAAACACCGGCACGGCTGGAACGACGAACAAACCCCGGCAGCTCTGCTCCTCCATCGGTTCAGCTCTGCTGAGCTCCCGGGCTCCTGGACATTCCCATTTTTCCAGCAGCCCCGCTCCCATCCCGGGCTGCCCGGACACACCTGCGGGGCTCCAGCCCCTCGTGGAGATGGAGATGCCAGCCCTGGGGATGGGTGTGGGGCTGAGCTGGCTCCGGCTGCTGCAGGGCCACCAGCCCGGCTGTCACTGTCCCGTCCTGGCAGAGGCGAGCGGGGAAAAGCCGGGCTGGGAGGAGGAGGAGGAGGGAGGGAAGGAGGAAGGGAGGGAGGGAGGGCAGCAGAGCCGTGCCCGCTGCAGGTGCCCAGGTGGGAGGTGCTGAGGGGGCACCGCAGCTCCTGGCATGGGAGTTGTGCAGCCAGAGCAGCACAGGAGAGAGGGAACCATGGAATTCCTGGGTGGGAATAAACCCACAGGGATCCCCCAGTGCCACCCTGCCCTGCCCAGAGCCCAAAATCCCAGCCTGGGCATCCCTGGCAGCGCTGGCCAAAGGCTCCTGGAGCTCTGGCAGCCTCGGGGCCGTGCCCATTCCCTGGGCAGCCTGGGCAGTGCCAGCAGCCTCTGGGGAAGAACCTTTCCCTAAAATCCACCCTAAATCCCTCCTGGCCCAGCCTGGGATCCTCCCTGGGTCCTGCAGCCCCGGGAGCTCCAAGCTCAGGCTGCTCTGCTCCAGGAAGGCTCCGGGGGTTGGAACATTCCCAGTGATTCCCTGGCTCCCTGGCACTCCTCGAGCTCCATCCTGCAGGGATGTTGCACATTTTGGGCTGGGAGCAGGAAGGGGAGATCATTACAGGGCTCCCCTCTAACACCTCCCTGAAGGGAGGCTCCCTGCAGCCAGCACCAAAACCTCAAACCCCCACCCCAAATCTCACCCTCTGCTTCCCACGGGAGGGAGAAGGGTATCCCTTCTGTGGGTATCCCGTCTGTGGGTATCCCTGAGCCACAGGGGGCTCAGCCGTGCCCACCTGGAAGCTACAAAGTGAATTTATCAGCCTTGAAAGATGCATTTGAGCTCCTTCAGAGGATGCTGCTGGTGTGGGGTGACATCCCCTCAGCATTCCCATCCTTCCCATGGGATAACATCCCTTCAGCATTCCCATCCCTTCTGTGGGGTGACATCCCCTCAGCATTCCTGGGCCAGGGCACATCCCAATCCATCCCATCCCATGGCCCTGGCAGGGACAGTGGCCACCAGACTCTCATCAGCTGCAGTAAACGGATGGGATGGGATGGGATGGGATGGGATGGGATGGGATCCCAGACTCTCATCAGCTGCAGTAAACAGGGATGGGATGGGATGGGATGGGATGGGATGGGATGGGATGGGATGGATGGATGGGATGGGTTGGATTAGGTAGAGATTGGGCTTGGGAAAGGGATTGGGATGGGGTGGGATACAATGGGATGGGATTCAGATTCAGATTGGGATGAGATGGGATGGGAGGGATTGGGTGGGATGGGATTGGGATTAGGATTGGGATTGGGATGGGGTAGGATAAAATGGGATGGGATTGGATTAATATTCAGATTGGGATGGGATGTGATGGGTTGGGTTGGGATTGGGATTGGCTGGGATGGGATTGATGGGATAGGGTGGGATGGGATGGGATTGATGGGATGGGATGGGATTGATGGGATGGGGTTGGATGGGATGGAGATTGGGATTGGGATTGGGATTGGTAGTGGGATTGGGATGGGTTGGGATGTTATGGAATGATGGGATGGGATGGGATGGGACAATGGGATGGCATGGGATGGCATGGCATGGGACAATGGGATGGCATGGGATGGGATGGGATGGGACAATGGGATGGCATGGGATGGGATGGGATGGCCCCTCCTTGCCTGACACTCTTTTCCAGCTGCTGTTGCCTGGGCAGCAGCTGGGGAAAGGAATTGAGGTGGTGATGGAGGCATTCAAACAAATGGATGAAAATATCTCAGCATTTTCTTGCTGCTCACTTTTCCAGAGCTTTATTCCATTTTTCCTCAGGGTGAGGATGCAGCCCCTGCTTCCCTTGCCTGAGCTGCTGCTGCCTCTCAGTGAAGGAGCAGGCTGTGGGATTCATTTCCAGGCTGGCCCAAATCTCTTTTCTGCCTGCCCAGTTTCCCCTCTCCAGGGCAGCCCAGTTCAGTTCTCCCCTGCCCCTGGGAAGCCTGGAGCAGGATCTGATCCTCTTCTTTTCACAGCCCCCAGGGAATTCCCCCTTCTGGGTGAGTTTTAAAGCCTGGCACGGGAGCTGGAGGTACCAGGAAGAGGGAGAAGATGAAGGGGTGGCCCAGGCTCAGGAGGAGTCACAGGGAGGAGATTCCCTTCCCCAGACCAGTGGCACCAGTTTGAGGCCAAGCACGGCCACCAAGACCCTGGGATGTGAAGGAATGTCGTGCCTGGATGTGTGATCTCCCAAATGACTGAAGGGTGTCCCAGAGTTAAACCCAGCCCGGGAACATCCCCAGGAAAAGCTGTGGGAGGACGGGCCGGGGCTGATTAGGGAAAGTGCACTTGTGGATAAATGCATTTGATGAAATAAATGGGTTAAATCAGCAATGCTGAAGGCTCAGAAATGGGGTTAGGGCAGCAAAGGCTCCCTCTGGGGTGGCCACAGAGAGTTGGATCCAGGAGAGATCCATGAGGGAGGAGGAGGAGGAGGAGGAAGAGGAGGAGAGGTGTGGGTGGTCAGTGACAGCAGAGTCAGGCCCTGCTTCCTCCTCGTGGGGGAAATCTGGGACAAAACCAGATCCTGGCACTTCCTGGGCCAGCCTGCCTCTTCCCTGAATGCTGGGTGGGGGGTGTGGGACAGGAGCAAGGATCTGGGGTGGCACAGGGTCAGGGGTGGCACAGGGTCAGGGGTGGCAGAGGTGGCCGTGCCAGGGCAGGGAGCTGTCAGGGAAGGCCGGGCACAAGGAGGGCACTGCAGCCATTCCCTGTCCCCTTCTCCCAGGGCAGGGCTCTGGTGTCCCCCAGCCAGCTGTGGGGACACCCTGCCACCCCACAGGACACAGGGAGGGGGCTGAGGGTGCCTGGAGGGGAGGGACCCCGTCTGTTGGGACAGGGGGGCTCTGCTGAGCCCTGGTGACATCCCAGCTCCCTGCTGGGGCCAGCTCGGGAATTCCAGCACAGGGAGGAGCTGGAGCTGCTGGAGAGAGCCCAGAGGAGGCTCCAGGATGAGCAGAGGGATGGAGCAGCTCTGCTGGCAGGAAAGGCTGGCACAGCTGGGATTGTTCAGCTGCACAGGAGAAGCTTTGGGCTGAGCTCAGGGTGGCCTTGCAGGGCCTGAAGGAGCCCCAGGAAACCTGGAGAGAGACAATTTCCAGGGGATGCAGGGACAGCACACAGGGGGTGGATTCCAACTGAAAAATTACAGGTTTAGATCAGATATTAGGAACAATTTCCTCCCTGGCAGGGTGGGCAGGGGCTGGGATGGAATTCCCAGAGCAGCTGGGGCTGCCCCTGGATCCCTGGCAGTGCCCAAGGCCAGGCTGGACACTGGGGCTGGAGCAGCCTGGCACAGGGAAAGGTGTCCTTGCCATGGAATAGGATGAGCTTTAAGTTCCTTTCCAAACATTTTAGGCCATTTTAGGATTCATTCTCTGGGATCTCAGACTCTGTGGGCCCCACTCCCCTCCCAGTCCCTCCAGTGTCACCTCCAGCCCAGGCAAGGTTGTGTCTCCAGCAGAGCAGATCTGTCACTCCTGTTTGACTTTGGGGGGGACTTGAGAGCACCTGTGACTGGGAGATTATTATTTAATATATTTTTTAAAAGCTCCAACTCGATGTAGGAATCCTTTTTGCCCTCCTGGATCTGTCAGTAGCCACAGATTTCATTTTCCCCAGGTCAATGACGACCTGTGGAGTGATGGGATCCCTCAGGAAGTTTTCTCTGGAAGGTGACAAAGGACATTTCCCAGCACAAGGGCTTGCAGATCTCTTGAAACCGCATTCCTGGAAGCCTTTGGGTTTTAAATTTGCCTCATTTTTTTTTTGTTTTGAGGAAAGAAACACTGAAATAAGAATGGGGAGCAGACACTTTAAAGTTTAAATACACTTTAAAGTGTATTTAACTTTAACTTTAAAGTTAAAATCCACTTTATTCTTTCAATGAAATTCCCATTTTCCTTGAAAAGCTGCTGCTGTGGCCCTTGTACTGGAATAGATGAGGTCTAACATGTTTCTGTCCAGGTCTTTTTCTGTGGCATGGTAACCCCTGAAAACCAGGGGGAAGGACCAGAGCTGTACAAACCCTCCCTGGCAGAGTTCTTGGGGCTCCTGAGCAAGAGGGAGGGAGAAATAATCCAGAATTCATTCAATCATTCAGAATTCATTCAGAAATAATTTGGTTTCTGGCCCCACAGGGCCCCGAGCTGGTCCCAGCTCTGCTCCCTTGGCCGAGCCCAGGGGACAGGAGGTGGCCAGGCCCTTCTGCAGCTCCATCCCCCACCCCAAGCCTGTCCCCCCATCACAGAGCCCTGCTGCCCAAGGGCTTGGCCAGCCCCTGGGGATGGCACCTCCAGTCCAGCCCAAACCCTGCAGAGATCATTTTGGATTGAGGTTTTCCAAGTCACCCTACAAAGGATGGCCAAGAGGGAGACATAATCCACCTGCTGCTATCCCAGCATTAATACAATTAATTAATTAATTAATTACCACCCCAAAGCCCTAAAAACAAGGGTTTGGAGCACCTGGTTCCCCCCTTTGCACCATCTGTGCCAGGATCCAGAGCTTCCCTTGGCAGCAGCAGCGAGGCCACAGCTCAGGGATGCAGCTCAGGGAGCTGTGGGATTTCCTGCAGCTGGAAAACTGGCTGCACTCTGCAGCCTGCCACTGAAATGCAGTTTAGAGTGGAAAAAAAAACAAAAACAAAACCAAACCAGTGTTAAATGAAAGATGTGCTGACAGCTGCAGCTTTGGAAGTGGCTGGATGGGGAGGCTTCAAACCCCCAGAGCCATTGAATGCCATTCCATGGAATTCCTGTCCTTCACAGGAGCTCTGAGCCCTCAGCTGAGGCACAGGGACTGGAGAGTTGATTTTGGTGAGGATGATTCAGATGGGGCACCACCGATCACCAGTCACAGCTTTAATGACCAGACACAGGAAATTTGGATTAGTTCTGACCAAAGCTGGAGTTTATTGTTCCCAGGGGTCCTGGGAAGGTTCCTCCCCTGAGCCACAAACTCATCCCCACTGGCACAGGGTGCCCAGAGCAGCTGGGGCTGCCCCTGGATCCCTGGCAGTGCCCAAGGCCAGGCTGGACACTGGGGCTGGAGCAGCCTGGCACAGGGGAAGGTGTCCCTGCCATGGCAGGGCTGGCACTGGGTGGCATTTAGAGCCCCTGCCAACACAATCCAGTCTGGGATTCTGGGATCCCCTGAGAGATTATTTGGGTTATCAGCTCCCACAGGCTGAGCAGAACCCTCTGGGATCTAGGATGAGGGAGGAAGGTGAGACCCTGGATCCCAAGCTCAAACAGACATCCCAGGAGCACACAGAATCCCAGAATGGCTTGGGTTG